TCTTGTCAGATTCAAATATCTATTCTGCATGTTCACCTTTGTCACATCTCAAAATTTTCAAACGGCATATCACATTCTCTATAAATTTTATTTGTAATTCAAGCTTTTTGCTAACTTTGTCTTGATACTAGAATACAATAAAGAAATTATAACAAGCATAAAAAATACAACGTTAAGTACGACGTATGATCATGTGGCTGGAAGCGATGAAAGTCAACAATTATCTAAATTCGGAAGAATTACAAAAACTAATTCACTAATCAATTTCAGAAGAATTCAATTTGTTTTCTAATTTGAAAATTTAGGCAGTGAAATTAGAAAAAACCAATGATGTTATACAAAGATTCCACTGATCTACGGGTACTATTAAATGTAATAGACTAATAATTCACTAGTTTTTTAGTAGTGTATGCACCCGATGAATTGCCTTCAGTTTCTTTTCGAGCGTGTATGGAACAGGATCAATTTTGTTTTGACATGCTAATTGAATTCTAGTACGCTTCTGTCCTGTATACTTCGACTCGATTAGATCTTGTTCTTCTGATTGAAGTGATACCAGATAATCTCTTATCTTTCGAACAGACATCAGTATTAGTGAATACAGATAGTCAAAAAATGATTAACAGTGCAACGGAAAACGAAGAACCGAAGTTTTCTGAAAAATGCGTCTTTTTTCCATAGTCGAATAACAAACTAGTATTTCAAGGTTTTGTCCTGGAAGGAAAGCCCGAAAAAACTTGTAAAGGCGATATTCTTGTAGAGCTATTCAAGCTCTATCGAACGGTGTGTGTTTCAAAAAAATCTAAAATCTGCTTGAAGTTTGAATTACCTGCACCTTACTTTCTCCGTTTGAGCTGAAATGTTTTTTGGAGAAACAACTGCCCTCTACAACATATTAAAAAATCAGCCAAATCGGGGATGGTCAACTGCCAATGTTCTACCACAAACGTCCGATTTTCTCAGGGATTCGCTCTTAATCATGTCGTAAATCAAAAGTATTGTTGACAATCCGAAAGCTCACAAAATTCTAAACAAAATGAGATCCTGCTCACGGTACAGGCAAAAAATGAAATTAAAGTACGCAATTAAGTTTCATGATTCTGCTTGATATGAAATACCAAAGAAATATGCAAAATTTTCACTAGTTGTGCCTTCTTAAGTATCAAATTGTTGATCTGCAAGAATGATAGTTTTTTATTAGTTTCTATCAAACTCATTGAAAGAGAACGTCATTGTTCCTTTGGTGTAGACCATCATTGTCATTTCTCTGTTTATTAGCTTCAGTGTTATAAACATTTTTTTCCTTCTATTCGCTCTCATCTTCAGATCATCTCGTCCTTATAGCAGAACTAAATTCTCTTACGTAGTTTTTTTCTGTTCTCCAATTTTGATTGAGAAAAGAAAAGAAAAGTGCAAAATAGAGAAGCGTTGACTAATCTTATTCATTTTCTTCGTTCTCTACTCATACATTTTCTTGTTTCTTTATGTCGGAGTAATGTACGTGCAAAAGTGTCCGAATTGTTTTTTTCTTTCTCTCCGAGAACGTTAGATGTATACTGTTACGGATAGAAACATAGAATCATCGATCGACGATAACAATTATATGGTTAGCAAGCGATGGCAGAGAAAGGCAATGTATTAAGCGAGGTATCGTACAGTACTCTTTTAAGAAAAATATATAAATCTTACAGTTATTTTGCAGAATGACCCGATCAAAGGATGGTGCTGAGGGAGCGAGAATGCTTTGTTTGAGTTTGTTGTATTATTGTTTAAATAAAAGAATGCATAGATATGCAACTGTTGCTGGAAAGAAAAATAAAAGGAATTTCAAGTCTCAGATCGATCGGTATAGGGGGGCGAGTGTGTTCTTCAAAACGAATGTATGATTTAATCGTGTTTATTAGAAAAAGATAGTTATAACAAATTTGAGTAAGCGAGCAGACAAAGGTCTATGGTACAGAGTCAACTAAAGAGTCTAACGAAAAACTAAGACAAACGAAACTATCTCTATTGCTAATTCATGTCTGTTGATGTCAAAACAGACTTATCGGGTACGCAGAAGCATCTAGAAAATGTCTCGCAACCGTGATGATCACACTAGGAAATGTGGTAACAATTACAATTAATCTTTACTGTGGTACACTAAACGTTTTTAGCAATAACAATAAAATAAATTTCAACATTGTTTTATTCATTCATTTTCTCAGAGTCACCGAATATATTGTCAAAATCGCGATGAATCGTAATAAATAAAAAAAGCTGATAAATGTGAGATATCAGTCAGCGATGCTGTCTGTCTAGTTTCGCTTACTAATTCAATCATTGCGTTTTTTCCTAATGCAACTTGGCTTTTGAAAAATATTCGCTCGAATGTGAATCCTGATTCCACTTGTTCCTCTTCGAACGATAGGGGATGAAGTGGGGGCTTCGCCTCTTCAAAACTATGAACGAGCTCATGTAATAATGTCAACGCTGTATAAAATTGTCGCTCTTTTGTAATTGTTATATTGAATACACGTGTATTAAAGAGTATTCTTGTAGTGCCATCTACCCATCGAAGCGTGCAACCATCTTGATCATCTGCCATTGTATACATTGTACGAGCATCCCCAGGAGTAAACCAAACGGTTCGTGTATCATCAGTGATATAAATGAAAGTCGCGCTTATTCGAGCTTTCAATCGATCGTAGTCAACAAGTGTACCCAGGCAAAAGAAAAAATCGATAAGCTAGCTCAACCTAGGTAAAGCGGTACATTTAGCTAGCTCAAGCTAGCTACTACCTAGCTGAAGCTAGCTAAATGTACCGCTTTACCTAGGTTGAGCTAGCTTATCGATTTTTCCTTTTGCTTGGGTAACATTGGACGAATCCAGAAGTCGTTGATCTGCTTGCTCTCTATCGAACGAACCATTTTTAATATCATCATATACGTTTTTCATTACATTTATGTAATATGTTAAAATCGATGGGTTGTTTTCTATAATTTTATTTGCTAGTTCAATGGCTGACTGGAACGGTGATTCTTGCAAAATTCTTTTCCCGCTATTCTTTTCACAAAAGATAATGTTTGGAAGAACGATAAACTGTTGATACACCACTGATGGATTATTTGGCTGGATCTAAAAGAAAAGTATGAGTTTTTTGAGCGAATGATCTTTCATCGAACTACAGTACACAGTGGGCAATTTTGGTTAAAACAGGCGGACATGTGCTATTAATTAGACAATAACTTTTGATAGAAAAGAACTAGAGAGCTCTGGTTTTCGCTAATCGAAAGAGGAGACTTGAAAGCATGTTTTCATAGCCAATATTGTATTCAGAAGAGTTGTCTGAAACAGGTTTTCTAGGAGATCTTTAGAAACCTAGGCCGTCTGTAAAAATTATTTAGTAGGATTGTGTGGCTTTCTTTTCAGGCACTAATAACCACAGGTGTTCTTTTCAAAATGGGGTAAAGTGCGACCTTGGTTTTCCGCGATTCCGGCGTTGTATCCGAGTGGCTACTAGTCTCAGAACTGGCATCCGGTGACTATTGGTAACATCCATTGAAGACTGATGGAATATGGGTTATCGACTATACTGAGCCTTCTGACAATGTTTTCTTTTAGAAAACTTCTAAAATCTACCAAAAACCGACTTTTGCGACAATCTGCGATTTCAGGCAGGTCTCACCTAAAGTGGTGGACAAAAGTTTAAGCACACTTTTGTTTTGTCATTTCCTCAACAAACAAACCAGCTAGACACAAAATTCCAAAAATTTCTTACCAAACTCCTGATTGTTTCCTGTCTCAATGGAGCTATTCTAATGATAAGCAAGTTTTACGTCAATAACCGATGCGAAAGCTGAGCGGCTTATATCAAATTCCAAGAAATCGAAGGAATAGTCTAGGAATCTGTGATGTGATATAGGGATTCACTATACATACCATTGTCATGACGTCGTGTTTTCTTCCGTTGAAGATATTAGTTGATATAGTCAAGTTTTAGTGGACACTGTAGTGACACTTTCGTTACTACTGATTAACAGACCACGAGGCCTTATACAAAATTCTAACCCCTGATTAGTTCCTGTCTGAATGGACCTTTTCGAATGATAAGGAAGTTCGCGCTCTTACGGATACGAAGTCTCAGTTACTTTTCCCAAATTGCATCAAATCGAAGAAACAGTCCAGGAATCTCTGCTGTGATATTCCGATCGATTCTATATAGCACAGTCATGACGCCGCGTTTTCTTCTGCTCAAGATATTATAGCATACAGTGAAGTTCTATTCAATGGTTAGCTTATACTTTAGTTGTTACTGATTGTCAGATGACGAAGCTGAATACCTAATTCCAACTTCTGATTATTTTCTGTCTGAATGGACTTTTTCGAAGCATAAGCAAGTTCGCGCTAATACCTGATGCGAAAGTTTGAGTTATCGCTGATTAACTTATCACGGTGCTGAACACCAAATTGCAACTCGTGATTTTTTTCGGTCGGAATGTAACTTTGCTCTTGGCGCTCTCGCAAAACTGGACCACGTCCGAATTCTCTTCCAGATGATCATCACTACTTCTGTACTTCCATTTCCATTTGTCCTGCTCCATAAGGAGAATTACTTCGAAGAGCAACGAATGAGAGTAGTTTCCCTCATGAACTTCGTTTGTTGGCATCGACGAAGCAAATCGAGTAATTTCGACAAGGCTGAGAAACTTTACTAATTGCTGCTCGAAAGGACATCCAAAGACGATCAGAATGAACTGAGCCATCTTAATCCCAAGTATTACTACATAGGAGAGTACCCCACAGTACTGCAGCTTTCTGAAATGGCGGTTCAAATCAGAAAAACGTCTCTTCCAGAAAATCATCCCGATTTGAAACAATGGTATAAGAACGTGGAATATATACGACAGGAATTGTAATTGTCTTTTGTAATCGGTTGTTTGTAAATAAATATTCCAGGTGCGCGCCCGAATAGAGAGACTCTGTGTGTTGGAGGCGGGTAGGCCACACTAGCTAGGCGATGCGCGTACGTACGAACGAATGGATTAGTAACAAAAATGTACTAATATGAAAAAAATCTGTTTTTCTGTAGAAGTAGTTATTCAATATTTGGAAAAATTCCAGGTTATATAAGAGGCAGTGCACAACGGCTCTTCCACATCTGTAATGTTTTTCACTTACATGTTGTGCATTTTTTATATATCTTATTGAATATACTGAAAACAGTAACTGCACTGTACATGAGAGTGAGTGTGAAGAGAATGTTGCATATTTTTGAAGAAAGAGAAAGAGAACCGAAAAAAATAGGTATGATGGCATGTGTATTGGTTTTTCTACGGATGCACCGAACCTAAAACAATATTTGGGTTTTGTACCCAAATAATTTGAATTTGTGTTTGGTGGGTTTGGATTTAGTGAAGATTTGGGGTTTGTAATCCCAAGCACTTTGGGTTTGGTTTGGTCACCAAATCCAACGGTCACTCGATCCACCCGGTTATACAATTCAAAAAGGGTTTGTTAAAAGTAGTCCACCAAATGATGATAACGATGGTACACAAACAGCGGATTTAATTATTCGTTTATCGAAAGTCAATGTCGATCGGAATGAATATTTAAATGCATTTAAAATCGGAAAATTTCCACTTGAAAAAGCACAACGAAGATCATCAATAAATATAGGCCCACGATGGTCGTTATCAGAAAAGGCATTCGAAATTCTTGAGACAACGAAAATTTTTAAAGAACATTTTATTTATGACAAGAAAGATTTTCTATCTGGAATGTCTCCTGCACCAACGAATACTCATTTGACCGAATATGGTAAGTAAAAACAGCTGTATATATATATATATATATATATCACGTATAGCTTATACTGTAGCGATCCTTTTCTTTCTTTTCATCTTAGGTAAAGACGAATTTGCATCGAAAAAGCAGACTAATACAAAAAAACGTCATGCGTCATTGACACATTCGTCGCCAGAACCATAGAAGCGACAAAGAAGATCAGCAAACCAAAGTGACACTGCAAATAATTGTTTTTTCAAGTGAAACTGTCTGCATTATTCCTCTAGCGGCCTTTAACTCTCCGCTTTTTTAATGTTATTAGAGTTATTTATTTTCATTTACATTTTATTTTATTTTCCTTTTCTACAGGCAGTATATGATAATAGTGTTTTTTACTAGAAAAAAGATTTTATATCTATTTGTGTGTATTAGATTAATATTTCTCTTCCTTTTGTTCTGTTAAATTCAGTGATTAATTGTGAATACGTTATTCACTCATTTGTCACGTTTAACCACGGTATACATTATACTCATATTTTTGTTCTCTGTGTGTATTTCAGTGTTTTTCATGCTGTTTTTCCTTTATGCCAGATGATTTTCTATTCTTTCTGTCGTTTATAGGGTGTCGTTCATGTCTGCAGAAAAAAAGAATTTCAAAAAACTCGTCCCTTGTCACCTTATTACCACTTTCGCCCATGAAAATCCGTGACTCAAACTTATTGGACTCTGACTAAAGCATATGGTACCATTAAAGTGTATTACAAGTCTCTACTTCTCATAGCTGATCGGCTTTTGTACGGAAACTTTACAAAGCAAGAACGTTTTTAACTAAACGTTTAATTTTAAAAAACACTTAAAAGAACACTAAAAACTTAAAACTAAAAGCTAAAAACGAAAAGTTTAATACTGAATGCTAAAAGCTAAAAACTGAATAGAAAATAAAAACTAAACAGTAAAAACTAAGAGTTTAATACTCAACACCGAATACTAAAAAACTAAAAGCTAGAAACGAAAGGTCTAATGCTCAGTACTGAATACTAACAACTAAGAAGTAAAAGTTTAAACCTCAATGCTGAATACTGAATACTAAAAACTAAAGACTAACAACTAAAAGTTTAATCCTGAATACTGAATACTGAACAATAGAAACTTAAAACGTTTAATACCGAATACTAAAAGCTAAAAACTAAGAGTTCAATGCTCAATACTGAATACTAATAAATAAAAACCAAAACCTAAAACCTAAAAGTTTAATACTCAATGCTGAATACTCAATACCAAAAACTAAAAACCACACTGTGAAAAACGAGGTGCATTTTGGAAAAAAAAATGCACTTCACGCGAGTCAAAGATGACTTCATTTTTGATCAGTAAGATGAAATTTTCATGTAAAAGACGCGCTGCGACGCCTTACGATAGCGGCTGGATTCCAATTTGATGTACCCGTAGCATCTTGGTGAGACATCATGGATGTTGAGTCAAGGCACGTTGAATATCTTTTCTCGTGTAAATCAAGTGCATTTTTGATGCATATAATAAGACATCCTGATGTCCTTAAGACATTGAGGATGCGTTTAAGACGCGGGATTAGTTTTATAAAAGTAGGCTACTACGAAAAACATTTTATTTTAACATATGACAAAGTTAAATACGCAAGCAACAAATTAAAATAAGGCGGTTAATAAACTAAAAATGACTCAATTACAGCAGAATAAGATGAAACATTTATATTGAATCCAATAAAAAACTGATAAAGGCATTGTAAGAAATGATAAATGGAAATCATATCAAAATAGACCGATTCAAATATCACGTGTGCAGCTATGGAAAAAGATAAGAAGAAGGAATACAAACACAGACGGTAAAGCAAAAAAAATAAGTGGTTCAGTGCGTTAGGCATTGATAAGTTGATCAGTAGAGAGGAATAGAAAATATTATTTTTGTTATGGAACAATATTTAAAGAGCAAAATGTTTGCAGGAGCAGGGATAAAAAAATCTAAGCAGACTTTATTTTACAATGAGAAATAGCTGTCGTCAAAAATCAACATATCACAGGATCGAAAAATTTTAAAAGCTTGTTCGGTCAAAACCGATTGTAGATTCGTCTTCTCCATGGTTGATTATGTGGTACGCGATAACTTCTGGATCGGGGTACTTTAGAAAAAATTTTCGACATCGTTTTGCCTTTGGTCCCATACGGTAACATTTGGAAAGTTTTTTGAGCAAGACCATTGGAAAAAAGTTTTCTAAAGTACCCCGATCCAAAAGTTATTGCCTATCACATAATTAACCATGGGGAAGACGAATCTGCGATCGGTTTCGACCGAATAAGCTTTTGAAATTTTTCGATTCGGTGATATGTAAATTTTGGTAGAGCGAAAGAAACCATATGCAGGTAATGATACTTACACAATACAAATAACCTATTATGAGAACTAATCAGAAATATTTTTAGATTCCTGAGAAAACATGGTTTTCAGAAAACCTTTTAGAATTATGTTAGATTATAAATTTTTCACATCAAGTCTGTCCTTATGCCGATATAAGGTGCCAAAGGCATGAGACCGAGTAAGTGGTATACGAGCGTTACCTCGTAGATGAGTGGCAAACAAACCTGGTTACTCAACTGGCTCAAAATTGCCATTATCGCCTGTTCGAGAGTACCACAGTCACTATAGTTGTCGAAGAAACAATACAGCTAAAGCACTTTTCTCTGTCGATTTATTGACAACTTGAGTAGCCATCCTTGTCAGACACTGAGGCATACTGCGGCTCTCAAGATCTCGCAGCATTTTCAATGCCTAAAAGATGACTACGTGATTTATCTATGACTGATGGGTGATTAAGGAGCTTGACTGTAGCTAGCCTAGCTACAAAATGTTATTCGACCAGTTGCCTCCTGCAGGCATAAGAAAATAGGCCCAACCACCTGTCCTGCCATATTAATAAGAGGTTGGATGGTTTACGAGTGTGTAACTGCGTTTTGAGACTCCACCGATCCTATTGTTGTCTTTTCTCCTTTAAAAGTGAGTGTACGGGTGCTTCGAAATTCTTTCTCCAAACCAACCTGGTCGGTATTGAAAATTTCATTTGGGGAATAATTCTTCGACTGTTCTCGT